GTTTCTTAAAAAAAAAACTTAAGTAGAAAATCTTACTTAAGTCAAAAAAGACAAAGACTTTTTTGGACTTAAGTTTGACTTAAGTAAGATTTTCTACTTAAGTTTTTTTAAGAAACAGGCCCCTGTATTATTTGTAGCACAAAAAGTTTCTCAGCGTTTACTAAATGATCTATATTTAATCTAATATAATAGTTCATAATCGACTAGAGAAATGTTGCAGTATAACTTATCGTCCTATACATGTAATAGTCCACTGTTTAGTAGGTCAGTCACGTTTTGTCAAGATTATAGTTCTGCCAGGGAAGCAAATCATCTGGTATCCAAATCATGAATTAACCTCAATCTTAACTAGTATTTCTACATGTGATAAAAAAATTCTTTTTATCAGATATTCTTTAACCAAAATGTCGTCATTAACGCAAGTTCAGTTAGATTTATCATCGAAGATCGATCATACGCTGCTGAAACCAGATTCAACCGATGATCAAATTATTACTCTATGTTCTCAAGCTATTCAATATCAATTTGCAAGTGTTTGTATTCAACCAACGTATGTTCAATTAGCTCATGAACATTTAAAACAACAAGAACAATCATCAAAAGTAAAAGTGTGTACAGTAATTGGATTTCCTTTAGGTTCAAACACAACAGAGACAAAACTATTTGAATGTCAACAAGCTATAGATCAAGGAGCAGAAGAAATTGATATGGTTATTAATATTGGAAAAGTAAAATCAAAACATTGGAATTATCTTGAACAAGAAATTAAACAGATAAAAGATAAATGCAAAAATTTAGTATTGAAAGTCATTATAGGTGAGTAAATTGTGAAATATGACAACTGTATTTATACCATTTTTAGTAGAAAACTGATCAGTTTAGTTTGTACTTGTACAATTTTATTGATAATGAACTAGGCGATCTGATATGTTAACATTTCTTCATCAATAGTCAAAAATGGAAAAATTCTCTATAACTCTCTAAACTATCTTAACTAGTAGGCCTCTAGCAACAAATGTGAAATGAAAAAGACTAATTCTCAATCTTTTTCATTTCGACCGTTTTTGAGTTATCGCTGTGTTTGTATAAGAACGTCTTCTTTCTATCACAAAGACGAAGAAATTTGCTTGAAATAAATGTCAATCGCAGGAGTTATATAGCCATTTTCTTTATATAGAAGAAACGAAAAAAATACAGAAAAACTCGTGCGTTCCTAATAAACAGAGCGATGACTCACAAACTACCGAAATGAAAAAGATTCATTCACATTCTTTTTCATTTTACATTTATTGCCAGAGGCCTAGTATTAAAGATATTTACACTTTTATAAAATACTTTGAGATATTTTGTTTTTAATCAGAAAATATCATTCAAGTGTACAATTAGAGAATAAAGAGCAAAGTATCCTGACATGTTAATACATCGGTCTTTGATAAGACAAAAGTTAGCTGAAATTTTATTAAATATATAATTGTGTCTAATCTAAATGTATACTTTCCTCAACAAAAGGATATTCTAGCTCAAAATTAACCTTTTTTAATTTAGTTTTCATACTTTTCTCTTCATGATTTAGTATTATTCTATTGTAGAAACCTGTTTATTAACACGTGAAGAAAAAATTCAACTATGTCAAATTGTAACACGATGTCACGCAGATTATATAAAAACATCTACAGGATTTTCAACTGGTGGTGCAACTCTTGACGATATTAAATTGATGCGAGAATATTGTGGTGAAAATGTAAAAATAAAAGCATCCGGTGGAATTCGTGATATTAAATTTGCTAATGAATTAATTGATGCGGGAGCAACACGATTAGGTACAAGTTCTGGAACAAAATTAGTCGATGATTTGTTAAATAATCAGGAAATATCAGTAACAACAAGTGAAACAAATTATTAACTTATTTTCGCTTGTTCATTGGATATCTAATGTCGCAATTTATTATACGTTTTAGTTTTTTTTATCGAATTTTTGTATTGTCTCAAAGTCCTCGTTGTTAAAACTTTTTAAATTGTCGTTTTACACCGTTTTTTTTTTTTGAATGATTAACCTTTATTTTATAATGATGAGAGTTCAAATAATTTACCGATAGTTCTTAGATTACAATGGTTTCTTAATAATAGAACGTTCTTGCATTTATTACATTAGTCAGAAAAAATATTTTGATGATAGTAAGAGAAAAAACTTCTCTTCATCATCTTATAAAACATGCATTCCACATCGAATAAGTTTTGGCTCTTTTATTTTATTACGTTTTTTTTTTTTGTCAGTTATTTTAGAAGAGCTTTTTTTTTTCTTTTATCAAAATGAAAAATTTTTTATTTTATTTTTTTGTAAATAACATTGTTCTCTTCCAGTGAAAATTTTTAATTTATTAATACAAGTGTTTTTCTATTATAATCATATATATGAAGATTAACACAACAAATAATAATAAAAAAAGATGATAATAATAGAAAAAGAACACACAAAAAAATAAATGATGATTATCTTAAATTATTGTTTTATTGTTCTTTGTTTTTTATAAAAATAATGATTTCTTATTTTTAAAAATAAATTTATATTCTATTCTTGTTTGTAAGTTTTGACATCATCTTATTTATTTAATTTATTTCACTTATATAAAATTATTGAATTTTTTTATTTTTATTTCAGAAATATCATTTCTTTTTTATTTATTATATGGATAGAACTATATCCGAATCGAGTTGTAAGTATATGCATGTGTGTAATCAATGAACAAGATACCAATGTAGAATACACTATTGTAATAGTTAGTTTTTATAGTTATAAAAAAAATAAAATGATAGATAAAGGATGTAAGATGACGTTTTATCTCAATATTCATCTAGGATTTTAGTTAATGGTATAAAATAAGTCGAATATTTTCAATTGTTTTATCAATTTTTTACTTACATCATAAAAAATATTTAATTTTTAGTATTGTTCTATTTTTAGGTTATAGTTATTCGGATACCAGTTATATTCCTTCTCCAGCAATGTCCAATCAAAATCCAAGTACACCAACGACAATGCAAAGTATGGGACAAAATTCAAATTATTCAAGTTCAGGTGGAGATTCATCGACATCGTTTAGTCCTGGTAAATACTTATTTTTTATACTTTAATTGTAGATAATAGACCTTTTTGTTGTATTTTGTTGTTATAGGGCCAGTAATGTCTACTAGTAATATGCCTACACAATTTACAAGTGGTGCAGCATCATCCGCTAGTAATTCAAACACAAATACAGGAAATAATAATCAAGCAAATAATGGCAATATTGCATCATCGAAATATTGCTGTGCTATTTGTGGTGACAAGGCATCAGGAAAACATTATGGAGTACACAGGTAAACATTTTTATACAGCATTAAAAGAAAAAAATGGTTTTTAGAGAACATTTTTTCATAAAGTTAGCTGTCAAATTTTATTTATTTTCATTTAACTAATCTGTATTAAAAATTTAAGAGAGATTTTGCTAGAACATTGAAAATTTCTGTAATATGGACAAAATAATTTTTTGTTCAAATTGAATTTTGTTTTATTTTTTTACTGAAAACTAAAGTGACTTTATTCTTTTTACCTTATTTCTTTGTACTCATCAAATAATCCATATTTTTCTTCACTTTTCGATGTGCCGTTCGGAAAATGTCGTCATATATTTTAGAAACATGTTATTAGAAAAACTAAATTTTGACGACGACATCATGGCCTGTGAATGAATGAAATTCGAAACTTGAGCATTATTGTTTTTTCTAGATATTTGTACATGATTTGATAGAGCTCGTCGAGCTGAGTAACTATCTTGTACTCACCCTATAAGAAGTTCATAAACAATTTTGTAAATCTAGTTTTTCTTTGTGAAGGGATGAAGTGGAGATTTTTACTTCATTAGAACCCCCATTAGACGAGTTTTAAAAGTATAAATCGCTTCTTTTTTTTTATTTTGCTTCGTCAGTGAGAAAATTCATTTTTCCTAGATCAGAAGTGAAAAAATCGGAATTTTGGCTGTAATTCTCAATTGTCTAATGATATACTTTTTTAATCCTATCCGACTACTTTTGATTTTTTTCAAATTTTGATATCAAAAAATCACCGAGATTTTCATCAAATAGAAATAAAAGTAAAAATCAACAAAAAATTTCGAAATATATATCAGCGACTCAGTTTTTGACGATGAAATTCCGAATATGATATTTTGATTGCATAAAGAGTGAGTTCTGATGGAGACAATTGAGAATTATAGGCAAAATTCCGATTTTTTTCACTCTTGATCTAGGAAAAATGAACTATCTCAGTGGCGAAGCAAAATAAAAAAAAGAAGCGGTTTATACTTTTAAAGCTCATCTAATGGAGGATTCTAATGAAGTAAAACTCTCGGCTTCACCTCTTCACAAAAAGAACTAGAAAGGTTTACAAAATTGTTTATGAACTTTTTACAGGACGAGTCCAAGTTAGTCATACTAGATAGACTTTTGCCTTCAACGTCGACTGAATATCAGATTCATACTCAGTTTTTGATGCTGAATCTGGAAGAAAGACTTTCAAAAAGTTAGAAGCACGAAAAAGAAAGAAATTTGAATTTTTTTAGAACTGAAGGATTTGTCAAAATTTTAGATCCTTCGAATTTTTTTCAGTGTTTTCTTCTTTAAAAAGTTTTTTAAAAATTAAAAATCACTTTTTCTTACTCAGCTCGACAGACTCTATCCAACCATGTATAAATATCAAGAAAAACAAAATGATGTGTCAAATTTCCGGCACTTTATTTCTTTCTCTGTTTTAGCTGTGAAGGTTGCAAAGGTTTCTTCAAGCGAACTGTTCGTAAAGATTTAACTTATACATGTCGTGATAATCGTGAATGTATCATCGATAAAAGGCAACGCAACCGATGTCAATATTGTCGATACCAAAAATGTTTGTCTGTTGGTATGAAAAAAGAAGGTATGTCATTTTTGATTAGATAACGTTATTTAATAAAAAAGAAAATTTTTTTTTAGTATTCCTAGCATCTTTTCTTAGTTGGAAAAGTACGCATTTTTTTTTATTCTTATTATTTCAATATGAGCTGCTCTAACGAAATTTGTTCTCTGAGATAAAAGTGGGTAGGAAATATAACGAGAAATAAAAAAGACTGTTTCAATTGGTCAATACGTTATGAGAGCTTATCTTTAACATAGAAGATTACATCGTTACTAATTTGAAAATTGAAACTAATTTCAACAATGATGTTGAATTTATTTTTTACTAGTTTTTTAACTATGCTCTTTACATCAAACTAATAAATTAATTTTTGTCTAGTTATGTTAGTAGAAATATGTTTTGATCAATTTGCTTTATTTTTCATCCTCAACGATATAAAAATTTTATGAATTTATTTATATGACAAACGTTTCGACCTCTTTTATTCAGACCTTCGACAGTGATAAGATATTAGGAAAATACTATTTGTACGAGAATAATGAATAGTTCACAAGACGGCAGATACAGTGCTGGGCGAGTCAAGCTATTTTTCGAGTCGAGTCGAGTCGAGTCCGAGTCATTTCATAGCGATTTCGAGTCGAGTCGAGTCGAGTCAATATTATTTTTCTATTTTTTTCCGAGTACTGTTTATTTTTATAGAGAACGTTAACTACAACTTTTCGATATTCGTTATCTATTTCTTAATTTTACATATATATATACTCTAATTAATTATATGTTCTTCACATTTATTCTACTTTTGTCTGACGAAGG